AAAAAAGAAAAGATTATTTTCGGACAGAACTGAAAGTAGACGCTGACCTAGCCAGGAACTAGTGTGCTTGTATCAATGAAGGATACTTTTCTTCGAGGGCCTTTTTATAAATACATAGAAAAAGATACCTTCTCCTTCTCAAAGTAGTGTTGCTCGGCTGGCTGCTTCCCTTCTTGTCGTCGGCTACATGCATACAATTATTTACAGTAGAAAATTGACAACGATAAACGATTCACTAGTTTTCCCCCAAAATCTGAGCAGAAAAGAAAACAGATTAAACCCTATTATTTTTTCCGAAATCTAAACAGAAAGCAGAACTTTCCTGTCCGTCTCTCCTCATATTCACGTAAGCACGTACTTCCATCTGCGGTATTTTCTGCTTCTTTCAGTTAATGTATAGTAAAAGTTGTAGGTTATTCTCAAGTTTGTTGGTCTTTCTTCATGCTTAGTTGCTCAGGGTTTTGAAATTCAGATTCTTTTTACATTGGGATTCATGTTCTGCTATAATAGTGAGCTTGCTTAGTAAGTGGACAAACGGAATGACAGGTCTATACTCTATAGGATCTTCCACTACAGCTTTACTGTTTTTTATTTTTTCATGAGGATGAAATAGTCTATGAGTCACTAAAAATCAATAACTTTGTGCCGATATTCTGATGTTTGGGGGCAAAGACGTTTATCTGCTAACTAGTGCGCGTTTAACTACAAAATTGGTGAATTTGGAATCTTAAGTTCTGTATGACCAACATTCTATTTTCTTCTAGTTAAGTGAATCTGGAAGTTCCTTCATGGTGGTTAGTTTATGGATGATTCTTGACGATGGCATAACATATACCCTACTCTATCTATTGGAATTTTCTGTGGGTATTTTCTAATTGAAGATAGCTAAGCTGGAATTAGACTGGTGCTGCATTGTCTATTTTCATTTCGATGGTCGAATTTAGTATTAAGAAAAAGTGCCCCTTGCCCAGCAGGCTGCACATTGAAACTTGTATCCTAAACTGTAGATTTAGCTAGCAGGGCTCTATTGTAAGCTCACACTATACTGTATATTGAGTTTTGTGCTTTGGCTACTTTATTAGCTTTGGAATCACAAAGTAAAGAAAAAGATTTGTGTCAACTAGCTCCTATCCTAGTTCAACTACCGTTTTCATATGTACAGCGAGCCCTTTCTCGCAACAACCTGATTTACGTTAGCTGTTTTTTCTTTTTTTTGGTTATCTTTCTCTCTTATATTTTCTTTGTTTGTCTGGTTTTTGTATATCATGTTTGTGATGGCTCTTGGTGAGACATTTGGTCTTGCTTTCTGTTTCTGTCTATTTCTTTTCCTCTTTTAGATTTTTTTCAGGAATTCAGCATTGATATATTTAGGGGATGCTACTCAAAGTGTTCAGATTTTTTATTTTGGGGTCCAGAATTATATACATGTTTAGATAGGACTAAGAGGATATTACAGGTCTATATTTGCTCTCAGGATATTTCATACTTCCTTGTTTCTTGGAAACATTTTTCATGTATATTATAGATGACCTAGGATTGATTAGCCCGATATACATTTGTACTCTTTTTGTTAAAAGAGAAAAGGGCTTTCGTGAATGTACATCCAATGGCCAATCACTTAGCTACCTATGTTACTGTACACTTATTTCCACTCACAGAGGCCATACTAGAGTTAGTTGATCTGAAATTCGGGCATAGAACTTTTGGCTACATTAATGCCGGTTTTTCAAGTGCCTTCAAATTCCATGGTGTATGATTGCTGCTATTTTGTTATTCCTCCATTATCGGATTGCACATTTTGATTGTTCTGGCAATAAAAATGCTCGGGGGTATCTAGTAGCAATCTTTAGCTTTTGAATGTGACTGTGCATTATTATTGACTACTTTTTCTGTGCAGATCTCATGGCTGAACTGGATCAGAATTTTGAACTGGGACATCCTCGTGAACTTGAATACCTACCTGAAAATGAACATGAGCTTGAACAAGTACATGAACCTGAGTATGAACCAGTCCATGAGAACGAGCTTGTACAAGTACACGAACATGAGCTGGAACAAGTAAATGAACATAATCTCGAACATGTACATGAACATGACCTCGAACATGCACACGAACAGAATGCAAAAGAAGATGCAACACCAGAGATCTCACATCCTGATCATAAGCAGAACATTACAGATGCACCAGTTGCAGGAGGTGGGGAAAAATGGCCTGGATGGCCTGGGGAGAGCGTTTTCAGGATGTTGGTGCCTGCACAGAAGGTGGGAAGTATAATTGGACGTAAAGGGGAGTATATAAAGAAAACATGTGAAGAGACAAAAGCGCGGATTAAGATTCTTGATGGTCCTGCTGGAATGAGAGAAAGAGCTGTAAGTAATTTTATTTGATGTGGTGTGCATCTAGAGACAACATTTAGGGTAGTTATATGTCAGATATCTACTTTTCTTTCCTTTTTTCTTGTTTGTAATATGAGTTTTGTTGCAAATGCATTGATAATTTGAGAAAAATCAATGAGTGTTTTGGACTAAACACGTTGGCCTCTTACTTCCCACCTATGTTTCATTCGTGCCATCTTTGTGGGTTATTTCTTGAATTTGTTTTTCTATTTTTTAGTTTTGCTACTACCTTATACCATTTGTGGTAAGAACCTTAAACATCTGCATGAATATTAAGATCACCAAAGTACTTTAGCATCTCACGAGCATGCAGCACTTTTGTGAATATGCAGACATTTTTTTTAAAACTCAACTATGGTATTGTTCTCTTAGTTTTCGCTTTTCCTCGTTGATACTTTTTTTGTTCGTCTCAATGAAGGAAAAAAAGAAGAGAGAAGTTTAGTTGGTCATCTCAACCCTAGATACTGAAGCACAAATGTCCGAATTCATTCTTCTTGATTAGCTTATTTCTGGTCTACTGTATTTCCCTCGGGCATTAGTTAGTTGATTAACTTACCAAATGTTGTTCCATACCATGTACTATCATTAACGAAAATATATTGCAGTCTGGACTACAGCATTTCCTGACTTGAAAAACTAAATTAGATGAAATATCTGATTATTTGCTGACTCACCAATGGTTGGCGTCTTGAAGGTTTTTGCTACTTTAACTCTTTCTTTATGGATAATGATCTATGACGTTGGGGATAATATTGACTACACGGGTTTTGTTTCATGAAAATAAATCAAATTTGTCTAATGTATAGTGGATCAATTTGATACTGTTATGTATGAAGTGTACTCTGAAGCTTTAGCACTTTCACTAAGTCATGAAGTGACTTTTCGCTGTGTACAGGTAATGATATCTGCTAAAGAAGATCCTGATTCACCGCTTCCTCCTGCCATGGATGGTCTTCTTAGGGTTCATAAGCGTGTTTTGGAAGGACTGGAAAATGAATCTTCTAATCCTTCATCAGGTTCAGTAGGAAAGGCCTCAACCAGGCTTCTCGTACCAGCGGCCCAAGCTGGTAACTTGATTGGGAAACAAGGCACAACAGTCAAATCTGTTCAAGAAGAATCTAACTGCATTGTTAGGGTTCTTGGATCAGGTTCTTCTTCTGACTTCCTCACCAGTCTTTTCTTTTCGGACAAGAATTTCATATGTGCATATTTGATCTTTTAAGAAGTACCGTTGTTACTGTATTGCTGCAGCTGTTAGCTTAGCGATACTCAAATATATGTATTTCCTTATATATGTGTATATTCAATTTTTGGCATGACATTGCAGAAGAGCTACCGATTTTTGCTCTTAAAGATGATAGAGTAGTAGAAGTAGTAGGGGAGCCTTCAAGCGTACTTAAGGCTGTCGAACTAATTGCATCTAATTTGAGAAAGTTTTTGGTTGATCGGAGCATTATATCAGTAATTGAAATGCAAGTAAGCTTGCTTTCCTTTGAAATCTATATGGGTTGAATGTTCGTAAATTTGTTTAAATTTCTGGGAGCTCACTCTATGTATGCTGTGTCAGATGCAGAAGCCACCCAATTCACAGCAGATGGACCACATGCCGCCGCCTCCTCAGCACTGGGGCCCACCTCCTCAATCTTTCCCACAACATGGTCATCCAGGATATGAGCCGAGCCCTCATTTCATGCCTCCTCCTAGGCAGTTTGACAACAATTATCCCTTGGCTGATATGCAGCCTCCACTTGAAAAGCAACCTCATCAGGGGATATCTGCTTATGGAAGAGAAGCTCCAATGCCGGTTCATTCATCGTCCGCTCAGGCAGCTTCTTCAGTGATCACTCAGGTTTT